AAGTATTTACCTCCATATTGAAAGAGAAGATTCATAATAGAATTAACATGAATAGTGAATCATTAAAAATTAGTAAAAATCAATTGGGATGTAACATCTTGATGATAAATAATGAATAATTAATAATTATATATTAAATCAACAGAAAGAAGATAAATATATAAAATAAATAGATTAATATTATGATATTAAGAAAGCATATGACTTAGTAAATCATTAATAAGTAATATAAATATTAAAATAATTTAATATAGAATGAATCAACATAAATAGTGTATAAAATATGATGAATATAATCATATGACATAGATATAATGAATATAAATGATATACTAAAATGATGAATTTTACATTATGATTCATTATCAATTCTATCATCGTCCAAATGAATATAATTTCTCAAATCATTGAATAGAAGTTCAATAATATAAATCATACATTATATAATGAAGAATGAGAACAATCCACAAAGAAATTAAAGAAATAAATAAAAAAGAATGTGTTGTAACGATGGAATAGATAAACACTGAAATCAAATTATTTTTGTTTCTTAGCAATAGCATTAACTTTTATCACTTCTTTTTGTGCAACGCGGTCAACAACAACTTTTCCTTTGATAGCATGTTTTTTAGTAACTTTTTTAATCTTTTTTTCAACTTTCTTTTGGGCTTTATTTACTGCTTTGATTTGAGCGTTAGCAACAACACGAGCTGTTTTGACAAAACCAAGTCCTTGTTTTTGTGCTTGAATTCCAGCTTTAATACCTGCTATTGTAGCAGCTTTTTTGATCATTTTACGTCCTTTTTTTTCTGCTTTTTGAATTGCTTTATTTGCTTTCTTTAATTGTTTTTTTTCAGTTTTTTTAACTATTTTTTCTGATTTCTTTAATTGTTTTAATTGTTTTTTCTTAATATCGTCTTTTTTTGTTGTTTGTTTCGAAGTTCCTGCAATTTTTTTAACAACTTTACTTACTCGGTTTTCTGCTTTTTTTGCAAGTTTATGAGTGGCCTTAGAAACTCCCTTAATAAATTTAGTTATTCCAAGAGTTTTGTTCTTGTTATTTTTTGGTTGTGAATTACTTTCTTTCTTTGGACTAACCTTTTTATTATTTCGTTTTTTAGTATTTGTATCTTTTTTTTTGACTTCTTCTTTATTTATTGTTTTCTTACTACTTTTTTTATTAAATTTACTGTAACTTTCTGTTGGATGAATAGCACGAGCTTTTTGTTCTGGAGTTAGATTATGATTAACAGGTTCTGGGATAGGAATTGTAGTATTTACTTTTTTAATGTCTGTATTAGTTTGATTAGTTTTAGTTTCAATAGTTCTATTATTAACTTTAGTAAGATTTGTATTAATTGGAAGAGTAATGTTAGTTGATAACTTAGTAGAATTGTTTACGTGTGTTGTATTAGTAGTAAATAATTTAGTAGAATTATTAATCTGTGTTATGTTTGTAGGTGGATTAGTAGAATTATTAATTTGTGTTATATTAATAGATGACTGAGTGGAATTGTTTACATGTGTTGTATTAGTAAATGAATTAGTAGAGTTATTTATATGGGTTTGGTTATTAAGAATACAGTTAGGTTTATCTAAATTATCCATCATCTTTTCAACCTTCTCTTCTTTCTTCTTCATTTGACGAATCTTCTCTATCTTCTTTTCAGATTTTTTTTGTTGTTTCTGAGCAGCTTTGATTTGTTTCTCTTGAACTTTAATCTCTTTTTCAATCTTGTTTAATGCCTTGACACTCTTCTCTACTCTCTCAACACTGTCAACTAATTTATTTCCATGTAACTTAACTTCTTCTTTAATGGTAGCTTGTTTTAGTGCTTGTCTCTGAATTGGAATATCACGTTTAGCTTTTTGTAACTCATATGAATATATGAGGGCATTGATTTTATTAAACTTTAGTTGATCACTAAGGTCTTCTTTGGTATAAATTGCAATTAATTTTTTTTTAGTCTCTTCGTCTTCAGCTTTTTCTAATACTAAGTACTCATCAACAGCGTCGTGTCTTTTAGCTTTTTTAACAACTTTCTTAGCAACTTCTCGAATAAGTATTTTAGCTTCTTTTTTAGTGAAATCTTTTCCATTTAATTTATTCATCAACAGGGTTGTTGTAGTGAAATATACCTTTCTTCTAACCGACTCAATAAATAATTGGATTTTAATTTCTTCATATGGTTTGAAGAGTTTTTCTGCTTTACGCTCAGCCATGTCTTCTGCTATTTCGACAGCCTTTCTAGCATAATGAAGTGCTTTATTTTCTGGTTTACTGAGGCACTTCATATCTACAGTCATATTTTTGTCATTTATAGCACCAAATCCCATATTTTTGATTTCTTTTTCATTTATTTCTAATGAGTTCATAAGTTTTTTTCTTAGATCTATAACCTCTTTTTTTCCTTTAATAAGTTGACTCTTCATTTCTTCTACATTTGTGGCAAATGCACTAAAGATAAGTAGAATTACTATCATAAATTTCATTTAATACTATACTTTAATAGTTCTTTTACTAGTTCTTTTATTTTTTGATTTTTTTTTTTAATGATTTTTTTAGATAATTCTTGTTATTAAAACTATTAACATTTTTATGTTTTAAATACCAATTAACAATAAAAATAAATTAGTGGTGAATTAATAGTAAACAAGGTATCCTTTGTTTTTATAAATGGAAGAAAATCTATTTCTTAATTCTTATACTGAAGAATGCTAAAAAGGTTAAATTGAGAGAGTTTTAATTCAATACCTATTATAAGTATGTAACACAATAAACACATATTACACGGTAATAATACATTATTATTAAAATGTAAAAATTAATTATTAATTCGAATAATTACAAATTACATAATGATACCATATGAATATTATAAAATAAATAACAATAACTATAAACAAGTTGAGTTATTAATTAATAAAGAAAGTAGAAAGAATCCACATAAAAATAAAATATTATTAATTCACTAATAATATAAATGAAAATATATATATAAGTAACTACAAAAATGATAAATAGAAAATTTATTAAATAATAATTAATATAACAATAAAGAAATGCTTCTTTCATTTCAATAAAAGGTTATTTACTAAAAACTAAATTTAATAAAACAGTATATAACAAAGTTGTTTTTAGTTTACCGATTATCCTTTATTACCTTTATTTGTTTAATAATATTTAATACAAACTTTTTTTATTTTATCATTTTAGATAACTCTCTAACGTGAAGAATAAAATCTTTAGAAATTATAACACAGATAATGTCTTTTGTTTAGATTTTCTTCTATTATAAAATGATTGTGTTCAATGATCATACATGTTCATATAATGTTATTTAACAACACTTATTAAACAGATAAAAATACTCTTCTTTTATTGATTTAATTATTCATTATATGACAATGACCCTTTTTATCAAAATAAAAATATTTAAATTATCAATAATTTAAATAAACAATAATGAGTTACTCGTTTCGATATTTAGTTTTTGACTATTTTTATTAGAAATAGAATGAACATAATAAAATAAATATCTTTCTAGTTTTTTTAATTAAAAATTTGATTTTTTTAATAAAAGACACACACCACTTTCAACTATATACCATAAAAATACTTTTCACAACAAAATAAGTGTTGGCATGAAGATGAAATATTAATGAATAAAGAAGAGTTAAGTAATTAGGATATTGAAGAAGAAAAGAATATCAAAGTATTATATAACAAAATATGAATTCAAACAAATTTTGTTATATATATTTATAAATTTAATAAAACAAAAAACAAAATAAAAATCTGCATAAAAAGAAAAAACTATATTTTATAGATAAAAAAACTAAAAAGAATAGAAAAAACCCTAGGATAGTATGAAGGAACTGTAGTTTCTTTCAGAACAACCAAAGACAAAATGGTCAAGTATTGCACTAAGCCAGAGAACGTCGCAAAAGCCGCTCAAGCCCGTGGTGATAATCTTAAAGTTCACTTCAAAAATACTTACGAAACTGCTGATGCTATTAGAGGAATGAAAGTTGCTCGTGCCCAAGAATTCCTTAAAAACGTTATCATCAAGAAGGAAATTGTTCCATTCAGAAAACACAATGGAGGAGTTGGACGTAAAGCTCAATGCAAAGGATTAAATTGTGCATTTGGAAGATGGCCAGTCAAATCAGCACAATTCATTCTTAAACTTCTTAAGAATGCTGTTGATAATGCTAAGGCTAAAGGACTTAACACTGCACTCTTGACTGTTAGTCATATTGCCGTTCAAGAAGCTCGTTCATCAAGAAGAAGACTTTACAGAGCACATGGAAGCATTAATTCCTTCTCAAGCAGTCCATGCCATATTGAACTTATTTTAACTGAAAAAGAAAAGAAAGTTGCTAAACCAACTGAAGGCCTTAGACGTAAGAAGATCACTAAGGTTTCTCAAATGCTCCTTTAATTGATTCTATTTGGTTGTTATAATTTTTTTAAATTTATTTGTTTTCAATTTATTAATATTAGACTATTCTTATATATTTTGTTATAAAACAATAACTTATTTCATTTTAAAAAGTTTTATCGTTAATGAAAATAATAAATAATTGTGATATTTACCTGCTAATATTTTAAATTTGAGTAAAATAATCAAAAAATAAAAAATGTATTTGAATGGCTCATTTATTGTTTTAAGCATTTAAGTATACTGACTTATAAAATCAATTTCATATAGAATATAAATTATTAAAGAAAAAATTGATATTCGAGTGATTAGAATAATAAAAAAAGAATATTAAATTTATTTGAAAGATTTAAATAACACAAAAATATATAAAAATAAAAAAGGAAAAATATAAAAATCAACAAAAAAGAAGAACTTGAAAATGTATTATTTAACACAATGAAAGTTGTGACTATTTTATTTGTGGTAATTTGTATATGTAATGGACAAGTTCCTGCAGATTTAATTGATAAAATTCATAAAATAAAAGAACAACGAATTCAAGAAGTTCAACAACTTGATAAAAGAGCTAAAGAAATAGAAAGTAAAATGGATAAATTATTAAAAGATGCTGAACAGATAAAAGCAGAAAGAATAACAACGAATATAAAAAACACAATGACAGAGGCTGATAAAATGTTAAGCAATTATACAAATGAAGAGATTAAAAAAATAAATAAACATTATAACCAATATGAAAAAGATATTAATGCCACTATTAAAAGTAATAAAAATATTTATAAAAGGAATGAAAAAGAATGGATAGCTCAAAAAAAATTATTAAAATTTTTAAAAAATGAAGTTAAAAAAGCATCTCTTTCACTTGAAAAAAAAAGAATTCTTTTAAAAAAAAATAGAGAAAAAGAAAAAAAAGAATTACAAAAAACTCTTAGAGCTGTTCGTATTGCTCGTTTAAAAGGTTTAAAAGAAAAGGCTTTGGCTGAAGAACATCGTCATGAATTACTAAGAAAAGCTGCATTAGAAGAAAAAAAAAGAACTAAAGAGGAAATTGAAGAAAGAAAAAATCTTATTGCTCAATGGAAATTACAAATGAAAGAATTAGAAAGAAGTGAAAAAAATCATATGAAAACATTACAAGAAATTGAAGAGATTAAAAAAAGAAGAGGAATGGAACAAAGAGTAAAAAACATTCAATTAAGAACTAAAGCTCAAAAAGAAAGATTTGAAAGAACTGAAAGACAAAAAGCACTTATTCGTAAAAAATTGGAAAAAGAACGTATTGAAAAATTTAGAAGAGAGTTATTTGCAAGAAGATGTGCTAGTTTAACTCGTGCATATAATAAAAGACCAAAGAAATATGTTCACGTTTGTATCCCAAAAAGTAATATTGAATTAATGGGAAAAATGAAGAAATGTTTACCAATTTGGAAACAAGACTTACCTTCATTAAAAAGAAAATTAAATGCTGTAGATCAAGTTAGAAAAAAATTATCTAAAAAATCAAATTTCCTTGATCCTCAAATTGACTTGATCGTTCCAGTTTATTAAATGAAAATAACTTTTTTTCTTTCATTATTTTAATGAAATAAATTGTTTAAAGAAGAAAAGAAACGAATTACAAATTATTTAATTGACTTTGATAATATTCTAATTGCTCATTTAATTCTTTACTTTCAGTTTTATTATATGATTCATTCCACCATTGTTGAAGATGTTCTTTTATTTCTTCTAATTTTTTATTAGTTTTGCTTTTCTCTTGATATAATTTTATTAATCTTTTATATCGTTGTAATGCTAATGACTTCTTTCTATTCTCTTCATCTGCTTTATCCATTTCATCAATACGTTTTCTTCCTATTTCTATAGATTCATCTGATCTTCTTTCTCTTTGTGTTTGAACATTACAATGACCTTGAAGATCACTAAATGCTTTAGGTTCAACAACAACTGCAGATACTGATAACATTCCATTTATATCAACATTAAAAGTAACTTTAAATTTAACTAATCCTTTCTTCATTCTTGGAAGTCCTGAGATTGTAAATCCATCAAGATAATTATTTTCTTCTGTTTTTTTACTTTCTCCTTCAAATACAGAAAATCTCGCTATTTCTTGATTATCTTGATTCGTAACAAATATTCGAGATTCTTTACTTGGTAATGGTGAATATCGTGGAATTACAACATTCATTTCTGTATCTTTTATTTCAATT